AAAAAAAAACAACTCTCTTCTTCTTCTCCTGTTCTGCTTTTCTCTCTCTGTGAAATGCAGATGCTATACCTTTAGCTAACAGACACATCTTGTAACAAACTGTACAGAAAAACTTTGGCTGTTTCCTGGTATTTGTTGAACTGTAAGAAATGACTGCACTTAAAAATGTTGCTCCCTTTTTTCTCACTCCTCTGCTGCAGCGCTAGCTAGGTGCTGAAGTACTGCAACAACAACCTTCTGTACCAAAAACAGCTTTTTAAATCATTCCAGGATTTTTTTTTAACCTCAGAAAGGCTGTAAATGCGTAAATTATGTTTATTCCTCTTTCGTCTGTTTGTGTGTGATAAGCACCGGTGATTGATGCACCAATGGGAGTGCCTTTAGGATTGTGTTCCCTCCATTTAGGTTCAAATCGCTGTGATGCGAAACAATTACTTACATCAATGTCTAAAATCTAAATTAACAAGCCTGTATTTAAAATGTAGGGAGTAAAAAGTGGAGATGTTTGTGTTTAAATGTGTGGAGTAAAATTAAAGTACAGGTACCGGAAAATTATGCTTAAGTAGAGTAACAAAATATGCTTACTTTGTTACTTTCCACCTTGGGGAATAGTAGCAGATCAAACCAAGTGAGTTGTGAAATGACGAGCATAACATTCTCAGATAAATGCATTTTCATTCAATTTGCACTTTAAAATTTGGTTTATTTCACACAACACACGTGACACAGCAGAGGACTGTGACGTTACACACCATGAGACTCACTAATCCATGATGGGATTAGACCAACACTCCACGTGCATTAATGTGCCAGATTTGACAGCGCGTCATTGGGTGTCTAGCACACTTAAAACTGACTGAGTCAGGGGGTGACTCAAATATCTTGTGCAAATATGAATGAAGGCGCATGAAGAATTCCACGATACTGATACACAGATGTCTGCCGCTGCCGCCCCTCTGGACAAAGATAAGGCTCTTGTGATTTGAGCACAAGCTCAATTTGTAGACTTTGCTTCTGCTACAATGCAAGCTTGTGTGTTAACATACTGCACGCGCACTGAGACGGAAGCTGTTTTGACAGGGTCATGCCCTGTGAGTGTCCTTTGTGGAGGACATACAATCGTTGTGTCTGCCTAATGTTTTCCATGTGCTAAATATAAAATAACAGAGTTAGCAGAGATGTTGCTTCAGCTGCACTGTCCTAAGGGAGAGGAAAAAACTTAACCCTTGACCCAACAAGGTGTCAAACAAGAATCTGACACTGAAATAACTGCACATCCATCTTCTCCAGTGATAACATGGTGCACATAAGTCACTCACTGTTCACTAAAATCAATCCTGGGGGGTGCTATTATTAGAGACAGTATCTTAAGAGAGATTTCAGCTATCAGGTAAAACAGGAGGTTTTCCCAGAGCAATTAGAACCAATGGTAAATCCTACCGAGGTATCAAGAGTCCACAACAGATGTTAGTTGCCTGATACCTATCAGAAAGCACTTAACCAAATAATGCAGAAACTGCCCTCCTCCTAATGCTTTTTTTGCATTTTAGAAGTTAATAGATGGAGTTAGTTTCTTATTTACCAACATCTGGAGGTCTGTATGAGGTCTGAGATTGTCTTCATGACAAGCAGATAATTTGCCTGTGTACCAGGTAGCAGAAAGAAGCAAGGGCATAAGGGAGCAGACCTCTTTCCAGGCATTCCCATTATGGCCCACTGCTACTGATGGATAATTGCACTTTCAGCTATGACAGTGCAAGAAAACTGCCATGGCACCAGGGCTTGGGTACTATGATGATGTGGATTTTGTAGCCACCAGAATGACAACTAGATTCTCCTTCTGACTGTGCTAGAAAAAAGAAACCAGGTAAACTGGGGAAAATGAGTAAAAGGGAAATCTGAGCCATGACTAGGGATGGGTACTGGTGTCGGTTCTGACATAAATGGTAGTAACCAGGCCGAAAAGCAGTGCACATTTCGGTGCTTTATTTCGGTGCTTTTTTTTTCTTGAAATGTCATACACTTTGGATTCTAACCAATCATTTTACCTTTGCAAGCGTAGTAGGCGTGCCCAGGTATGTAGATTCTTTTAGAGCAGAGCTACAGATTAAAAATGCCCTAGGCAAAGCGGTCAAAGTCTGGCTGTACTTTACAGCAAAAGATGCAAACTCAGCAGCCTGCTTTAAGGTGATACTGTGCAAAGGAGGTAACTCCTCGAATCTGATGAAACACCTGGC